CCCTCCCATGAACCCTTTTTCGGAAAGTTACAAGAGGTTACACTACACCAAAATGAGGAAGTAAATGAACAAAGCAGATGACACGAGGTCTGACAGGAGGCCTGACACAAGTGAGAGATCCAGGGGCTCCTGGGATGCAGGTGAAGGATGCTTGAGTGTGGTTCCTGTGCAGCAGGCAGAGGGCTCGGCAGGCCAGCCTAGAATTGGTCAGAAGCTTCGTGAGCAACTTGAAGAAGACAGTGATGAACTGCCTTTTGTGCTTGAACATATTGAGAGGGGATTCAGACATCTGGGTGAGGGCTTAGGGGTTGAATTCGTCATGAGTACAAAGAAAAGTATGGAGAAAATTTTAATGGAAGATAATTATAAATGGCCACAGGGATCAAAAAGTTGTGTAAGAAAGGACAAGGAACAACTAAGCTGCAAACAAAAATTACAGTCATAATTTTGATCAAACCAAAACTGCCATGCTCACTTCGGGAGCACATATACTAAAACTGGAACAACACAGAGAAGATTAGCATGGCCCCTGCACAAGGACGACATGCAAATTCGTGGAGTGTTCCACATCTTTTTGGGAGTTCAAGATTTGCATATGAACTACTATATATAAAATAGATAAACAACAAGTTTCTTCTGTACAGCACAGGGAACTATATTCAAAATCTTGTAGTAACCTACGATAAAAAAATATGAAAATGAATACATGTATGTATATGTATGACTGAAACACTGTGCTGTACACCAGAAATGGACACATTGTAAACTGGCCATAGTTCAATTCAAAAACAATGAAATTGTCATATGAAGATAAAGAGAGGATGGGGGATTACAGAAGTGTGCGGTGTGTGTATAGGAGGAGATAAGCGTGAAAGAAACCTGAATTCTCACCATAGAGGAAGCAACAGTTGAGACTAAAATTGAACCACCAAGAAGCAGCAGTATAAATTTAAAATTCAGAGCTGGAGGTAAATATCAAAATAACTGAAAAGGAGAGGCCACTTGACACAGTGGACTGACCTGGGGCTGAGGCAGCAGTGGTTTTTCTGTTTGTTTTGTTTTGGTTTTTTTGGTTTAAAACAATAAGGATTTATTCTCTCTTAGTTCTGGAGACCAGAAGTCCACAATTAAGGTATTAGCAGGAGCACATTCCCTACTGGGGCTCCAGGGTGGAATCGCTTCTCGGTCTCTTCCAGCTTCTGGTGCCTGTCGTCATTCCTCCACTTGTAGCTGCCTCGCTCCAATCTCTGCTTCTGTGCAGCAGCGTTTTTAAAAGGACTTGTAGAACTACCTGGCTCTGTAAACCACAGTCACACTGAACTTGTGAAAAAATCAAAACTTTAAACAAGAGAGCTATTCAGACACTAGGCTCAACAGCTTTCTACTTGCAAAGAGAAAAAAGAAAGAGGCAGGTATTAGTCAGCCTGTGCTGTCAGCAAAATACCATACACTGTGCGTCTTCACCAATGGGAACCTGAACTCAGCAGTTCTGGAGACGGGAAGCCTGAGACCAAGGTCCGCTAGGGTCAGTTCCTGCTGAAGGCTCTCTTCCCGGCTTGCAGATGCCCACCTTCTCACTGTGTCCTCACATGGCCTCTTCTTGTAAGTCCACAGTCCCACCTGATTAGGGCCCTACCCTTCCACCCTCATTTAACCTTAATTGCCTCCTAAAGACTCCACCTACAGATGCGGTCATACCGGGGGTTAGGGCTTCAACATCTGAATCTGTGGGGGGACAAAATTCAGTCTGTAGCAAGGAGTCAGGATTGACTTTGCTTCAGTTGGAGTAACTAAATAGATGGGATGTCACCACAAAGATACAAAACAGAGGTAGGGGAAGGGGGACAAATGGCCAGTCAACTAGTAATGATAAGTTCCAGCTTAGGCTAAGTCTCCAGGGCCAGTGGGACATCTGAGAGGAGCCATCCAACAGGTGATGGTACATAGGAGTCTAGAGCTCAAGGTCCAGGTCAGAGCTAGAGACAGCAGTTACAGATAGTAGATAAACCACAGATTTTCTGGGAATGGAGTAGGGTTAAGAGGAGATACAAGGCAAACTCAGGCCCCTAAAGATCACCAACACTTAAGGGTCTGTGGGTCTCATGGAGAGGAGACCCAAAGGAAACTGAGTATGTGATCAACAGTTAGAGGCACCAGAGAGACCCAAGTAGATAAGGACTGAAAATTGTGCACTTGGTTTGATGCTGAGGACACTGGTAGGTCTACCACAGCGGGTTGAGTGGAGTGGAGGGGACAGAAGCCACACTACCCTAAGTTGAGGATCAAATGGGAAATGCGAGGCTGGGGCATGAGTAGGCAGCAGAGCATTCTTTTCTGATGTTTGGTTGTGAAGGAAAAAGAGACAGTTAGGGGGAAGGTGTGACTTCAAGCACAATAGTCATGTGCTTATGGAGAAGAGCCATGAGGAAGAGAAGATGTGGAAGAGACAAGTGGTCATGAACAAGTGATGATGCTACAGTAGATATGAGGGGGGAGGGGCACGAAACTATGGTGATGGAATCAGTCTTAGGAATAGCATGCCCCCATAGGAATGGGAGAGAGTAGGAGAGAAAAGGAAATGGGGGAAAGTAGGAGAAAAGGGTAAACTGTGGAAGCTGGATTATCCCCACAAGTTAATCTTTTCTGATTTTCTCTCCCAAGAGTTTCTGAGTGAGAACACTTGGCCACTACCTTCTATGGTGTATTTTTGCTCCTGCCCCAACCATCCTTTCCTCATCTTGCTTCTTGGTACTCCAGCCCTCCTGATCTTTTCCGTGCCCTACTTGCCTATCATTAACATGGCCTTTGCTGAGCCTCCACTTTCCCCATGACCAGCCTCGTAGCACAGGACAAGCACAAAGGCAACCAAGCGCAGCTGGGACTGAGGTGTCCGGGTCCAAGCACTCAATACCCAGCTAATGAGCCCTCCAGAGGGTACAGGGAAAACAGCTGGAGGCATAGCTGGGCCATAGTTGTCCTCCGAAAAGGTGCCTCCCTGGCAGGTGGAGATGATACTGTCACCTTCCTCAGCATCAGCCTCATAGATTGAGAAGATGGAAGAGTGCACGGGAGGTCAGCCCACCAAGATGTGAGTCTTTCATCATATCCCTAGTCATTTCCTTTTAAAAGAAATACAATATATTCTCAGACCCAGAAGTTTGTACTTTCAGTATTCATTGACTGAGAAAACAATTCACAAGGCTTCTGTGAATCTACTACTGTCTTTAAGTATTTTTACTTTCACAAGAGCACCTACATATTTGCAATATATGTGAATATATAATTTTAAGATACACCTGCCTATAAGCAATGCCTGACAAGTGTATGGATCTGTTGAACTCTGCAGTAAATCTGCTTTTTCCCAGCCATCAGGGCCCAAGACCTGCTTGTCAGAAAAGATTGATCCAGATTATACCAGGGTTTGGGGAGGGAAGAGATACTCTCCCACGGCAGAGAGGTACCTTCTTGAGAGCAAACCAGATATCAGCAAGAACAGGGAGCGGAAGTCCTCCCAGAGCCAAGATTCTATGGGAAGGTGGAATTCTAAGTGTCTTCGTCTTCTCCTGCATGGAGTTTGTCACCCATGCCTATAGGCACCAAAGAGTAATATCTAAATGAGTGTGTGACTCTCCAAGTCTTAACGAATGTGTAGAGATCACTGGAGTGAAAAAATGCTTAAATTAGTAACTGTGTCAGCTATTACTTGCATCAAAGCTCTCTCTTCAGTCTTAGGATATTATCCTAGTCCCTCCCTCTCCATCCTCTCAATTTTGCAATCCATTATGTGCCAGGCTAGATGCTGTGTATATCCCATGTGCCACCTCATTTAATCTTGACAACACCTTCATGGAGTTGGTATTATTATCCTCCATTTATAGATGTAGAAACTGAGGGTCAGAGAGGTCAACTGTTTTGCCCAAGGTCACACAGCCAACAAACGACAGAGTTAGGATCCAAACCCAGGTTCTGTTTGGTACAAATTTTCTTTTCAGTACGGAACACTGTCTTCTTTCCCTCTGAATCACAAAAATTGTGTTACGAGATAGAGTGGAGGTAGGGGTGCTAGTCGTTTTTTTAAGCTTCCAGGCAGAAGGAACTCCTCCTAACGGCATTTTCAAAATTAGAATGTATTTTTTTCTGATGTTTATAATTCAGGCAATTGCAGTGACATTCAGTTGAAACCTGGCATGCAAGATGTTCATTTCTCTTAAAAGTTCACTTTTAATTGGCCCCAGTTCTTTCCAAGCCTGGAAGAAATACAGAATGTGTACTTCTGACGTGTTCAATGTTGAAGTCTGTTTGACACAAAGAGTCAACACCTGGAGTTTATACTGAATTCCCTGGTAAGAGAGGGGAGAAAGAGGTGAAAGGCAGACAAAGAAGAAAGGAGGGAGGGAGAAAAGGTGGGGCCTTGCTGGAGCACACTATTCCCACGGGGGCTCTGGAACCCAGAGCACATTCTGTAAACCACATGCAGTGGGACGGTACCCTGCAAAGGAGACCGCTCCCTCACTCCCCACAGATCTCTGGGGACATGTGGGCTGCGGCCATGATGCCCCACTTGGCCAGTCTGGACAGTCCTTACTGGGTCTTCCACTGTCATAAAAGTGGGCACCCTCAAGAGAAGCTGGACTGCGTTCAGTCAAGTGATAGAAGAATTAAAGACTTCTCTAGAGTGGGTGGGCACAGCTCAGTGGTAGAGTGCGTGCCTAGCATGCATGAGGTCCTGGGTTCAGCCCCCAGTACCTCCATTTAAAAATTTTTTTAATTAAAGAAAAAAAATTTTAAGACTTCTCTAGAATTCTCAGCGCACTTCTGGGCTTAGCCCAAATCCCAAAGAGTTCTAAAATTCACATTACCTAAAGAGAGGAAACCATGGAACCAGAGTAGTGTGGTGGGAAGGACAAAGGATGAAGTGGAGCCAGAAAGTAGAGATTTAAGTCCCAGCCCTGCTCCGTTATTTGCTACCTACATAAACTCCTTGAGACTCAACTTTCTGGGCTGAAAAAATTGAGCTAATAATCCCAAGATTATCATGAGGACTAAGTGCAGCATTATATCTAGCCTAGTTCAAACTACTGCTTCTTATTATAGCAAACTCCGTATTCTGACAAACCCTCCACCATGCTACGTAAAGCCTGGAAATAAAGGATTTAGGAAGAAAGTAAAAAAATTCTCAGGGGCCAAAATAAGATGGAAACCTAAGAGGAAACTGAAGCCCATGTTTCCCACAGGGCATTTGGCAAACCCAGGTGATCTTCTGCTCCAATATTTGTGGCCCAGTGGTTTATAGGAGACAAGAGACAAAGGCTATGGCCGGTCCAAAATGGGCAGTCCCGTAGGAGAAACACTGCCCCCTGCTTGAAGCTAGGAATCAAAGGGCTATGTCCTCAAAGGGCGAAACAGAAATAACACCCCGTACCCTCGCCAGCGGGGACAGACCTTGGACTCTAGGTGGAGAGGATAAAAAATTTCTGAGAACTGCAACTACAAACCCAGGTCAGAATCGGGATTTGAAGCTCAAATTTTTATTACCTGGATTGTCCACAAAACCTCAAGTTGAGACTCGCTTAA